TGAATTTTACATAACTTTCATGAGTGCATATGCAGTATTCATCTCTGTGTGTTTTACCTTTTCGGTACAAATGACCTTTATTATCTGCCCATGCGCAGATTGAATCTATGAACTGACTTAAAGGTAATACAAGGTTTTGGGAAATTTTGAAAATTGGGTGGGTAGTGATTCTTTACAATTTTGATATATTTGAATGCCCCTGTGGATGTATTATAAGCACTACAAAAATTAGCCCCTAAAACACTTCTGCTTTCGAGAAAAATTGAATATAAAAATTTACCGGTGCTCCCGGTAAATTTTGAGAAATTTCAAATAGCGCCTACGGCCGTACAATGGTAACTGCGACCATGAAAATCTCAGAATATGTAGTTGTGATATATAATATCTAAACGGGAATAGCTAATCTGTCGATTTTAGTCAAGAAACATTGTTTCATAGCTAAATTAATATCTTGACCTTGAGAGGGAGCTATACAACATAAAGAGTTTATTATTTACAATTTCATAACTTTAGACTCGATTTCAACTACGACAACGATCAATTAATATTGTATGAACGCATATGCTTCCAATATCTTCATTTGAACCAAATTCATGACCCCATACTAAAACTTTGTAATACCTTTAATATAGGGCCTGTTTTTATATTTATTTTTATTTAGAGAAGGCCTTTGCATCACGCCAGCTTAGCTATGTCTAGTCCCTCTACTAGTACTGGAGCCGGCTCTAGGGCCACTACCTCTGCTGATGCTTCAACTAGTTCACTTGCAGTACAGACATCCGTCTTACCATCCGAATACCGCACTGCTGAAGCAATTGTGTCGACAGCACGTGATGTAATCCGGCAAGTTAGAGAAGGCCGCCATCAACTCCCCCAACACAACTCCGACTCTGATTCCGATTTCATCGCTGACGCTAGGCCTGCAGGCTTTGACTCTGTGCTGCAGACCACTCGCACACAGTTTCGGAGGCGTAGAGTCCAAGACTCTAATGAGCAAAGAAGGCGAGGTATGTTTAAAACTATAATTTTCTCTCTCTTTGATCTCTCTCTCTAGCTCTCTCTCACTCTCCTCTCTCTCCTCTTCCTTAAAGGTAATACAAAGTTTTGGTATGGGGTCATGAATTTGGTTCAAGTGAACATATTGGAAGCATATGCGATCCTACACTATTCAGTGATCGTTGTCTGGTTGAAATCGAGTCTAAATTGTATAGCCCTTTCTCAAGGTCAAGATATTAATGAAGCTATAAAATAATGTTTCTTGAATAAAATCGACAGATTAGCTATTCCCGTTTGGAAATTATACACCACAACTACATATTCTTAGATTTTCAGGGTCGCAGCTACCATTGTACGGATGTAGGCGCTATTTGAAATTTATCAGAATTTATCGGGAGCACCGGTAAATTTTTATATTCAATTTTTCTCGAAAGCAGAAGTGTCTTAGGGGCTGAACTTACTAGTACTTATAATACATCCACAGGGGCATCTAAATATATCAAAATTGTAAAGAATGGCTATCCACCGAATTTTCAAAATTTCCCAAAACTTATAGTTTACCTTTAAGTCTAACAGTAAGTATCATGAAACACTAACAGAGTAACACCTATCAGTATCACTATCAGTGAGTATCACTCACACATACCTGCCAACCACCCCGATTTAGGCGGAGTTTCTCCGCATTTTTCATACCAACTCCGAATTCCGAGTGCATGCCTCAAAACTCCGATTTTTTTTTTAATTTTAATTTTTTTTTTTTTTTTTTTTTTTTATTTATTTAGTTTTTTTTTTTTTTTTTTTTTATATATAATTTTTTTTAAATTAATATTTTGTGTGTGCGTCCGCCATTTTCAATGGCAAAATGTCCATTCTGTCCTGTAAAGTATCCTACAAGCATCTCACATCAGCAATTTGGGGATGTTTATTCATACCTGCGTATAGCCCACGTGTATTTATATTACATGTGCAGTTGATACGCCGTGCATAAACACTGTATACATTGGCGTGTTTTCTTCAATGCTTGTGCGATGACTGCGATCGTGGAAGCTTGTTATTTACCGGACTTCCTCAGATTTATTTTGGATTACTACTACTATATACCTTTGCAAAATAGGGCTCCTAACTGAGGTGGGTAGTGAAACATGTAGTTTTGTGAGTGTTCACATTTCAAAAATTGTTTATGTGTGGGGCGAAAAGGTTGAAGGAAAAGGCCCATTTGCACCATTAAAATGGAGAGAAAAAAAATAGACCCTAAAGTCCTGTGTCCCCCCCCCCCCCCCTCCCCAATCTACGGGCTACTACCCCAATCCTTCGGTGGTTCGCGACCTCATAGTCCACCCAGAAAAATTTACTCCTAATTTCTCTTGTCTCAGGTTGGCAGGTATGCTCACAGTCACAGTATCATTACTATCATCAGTATCAAAATCAAGTATCATTCATACTAGGCAGGCTGCACACATTAAACAAAAGTAATTGTGTGCATCTCTGGGGCTACTCCCTCCAGCAAGCACACCTGAAACCTGTGAGCTACATGTACGTGCATCTCTTGGGGCCACCCCCTCTGAGGATAACAAATTAAATCCCGTCCATAATCAACAAATAATTACACTTTTCAGCTAACTTCTGCTTTACTAAGGATATAATCCATGCCATGCCGTTTTATATATATCCACAGTTAAAAGTGACTTGTAAACCCAAAATTAATTTGGGGATACTAGTACTTGTAAATTTAGGTTTAGTCTGTCAGTTAATGCCATAAACAGTGCATACTGGAAGCTTTACAACCTAATGAAATATTCTCTACATGCATATGATTCAAACATATAGAGAAACTGACCAGAAAATATATTGTGATTAAAAGAAGGCAAAGAAAATTTGATTCCAACGGATTCGAACCGAGACCTCTGGATTGCTAGACCGGTGCTCTTTAAACTGAGCTATAGAAAAATCATAGACGGTGCTCGTCCCTGAAACCCCTTAACTTTTATTGCCTGAATGGTCAGAAGCTATTTTCAACCTGACATAAACCCGAAGGATACAAATCAACTTGGGTATATATGCGAGGGATCACCAAAGCGATACAGCTTTTTGTAATAAATAATTCAAACATATAGAAAAACTGACCAGAAATATATTGTGATTATTAAAAAAAAAAGGCAAAGAAAAATGGGATTGCAACGAGACAACATTCATTGTCTGTAGTTTCTTTTTGAATCCTTCGGTCTTAATGTGTGCATGATTTTTGTATTTTTACAGACAACAGAGGCAGAAGAGGCAGAGCAAAGAACCAACTTTGGAAGGCTCGTTTGTTTCTTCTCAGAAGAAGTAATCCAGACTTCTATCCAGGAAAAGCAGAGTGTGCGTATTTGAGCAACATCGGATTAGGTAATTATGAGATAACAAATTCAAGGTTCCACGACATGCAAATTTACTTTCTAGTGGGTGTTGCATCAAGAGTTGCGAAAATGCTCCAAATGCGCAATTTTGATTGGCTAAAAAGCGCATATTTTCTGACTTGTGATTAATCAAAACTTTGAGATCGATTGCAACTCTTTTTGCTACACTCTAGGTGTAAACATGTTATTTGTAAACTGTTTGAACCTCAAAGGCCTGAATTTTCTCCAATTTGAGCCCAGTCTAACAAGACATTTAGACCTGCAGACCAACGCAGGAATAATTTTTCAATTTTAGGGGGACAATTTTCGAATCTGATGGATATCCAGACATTTGTCACATTATACCCTAGGTACATGTAGATGATAATTGTTGGGGTTATATATCTACCTATTTCAGAGGCTTTTGTTAGAAATAGAAGGCAAAAATGCCATTAGATTCAATATACTTCTTACCCTGTCTGCTGCAGACCTGTTGATTGTTGGTATTCACTACCATAGATATTTCAATTGTTTGTGTAACTGCATCAGATCTGTTAATTTTCCCCCATTAATTTTGATCAAACAGTTTGCTGAATGACATTTGGGTATTTGGACAACGTGGTGATTTTAAATGATAACTTAATTGACAAAATAACAAAACATAATATCTAGCATTCTATGTACCCACAAAGATTGATTTCAACAAATTTTCAAATTTATAACCCCCAAATTAGACTGCATTTGTTTTAATTTGTTAATACAATTTTTTATTTTTTTTATTTTTTGATGTTGTGATATCATTGAAGCCAAACTATGATTGTGTGCTTGCTTTACACATGTACACTCATGACCTTTGTACATTGTTTGCGCAAAAATACCTTTTGTGAACTGATGTACCACATCAATTGTGAATTTGTCAAAGCTCAGATAAGCATGAAAAGGATGTTCCGAAAAACTGATTTCTTTCTTGGCCTGTACAAACTGGTCCCCCTTTAAAGACCCTCTTGCAAAGTATACAACGACATTACTTTCTCTCACATTTTTTGTTAATGTAGTGCATGTGCTCCTTAAACTGGTCTGTAAACTTGTCGTAATTTGCTAAATATTGTTCACCACATTTCGGGTAATTTCATTGTTGATATTGCGGATATTATTTGATCAGTTTGTTTCAATTTCTGTAAATAGGAAGAAAATAATGAATTAGTATATTCATATTTCATGTACATGGTTTTACTTTGTAGATTAGCCCATGGTGATTTTCACGAGAAACGTATTATTGCATCTGTGACATACAGTGTAATGGATTTTGGGGCTCGTTCCATTACTTGTTGATTTTTTTCTTTTTTTAAAATCAAATATTGGAAAAGTAAGGTTTCAAATTATTTATTTGTATGGAAAGGTTTTCTAAAATATTGATTTTAATTATCAAAGTAGCGCAAATGTCGTCAATAAAATCATCTTTTAAGGATGGGACTGCGGCCACTGAGGGTCTCTAAAATTGTTGTTTAAAGTTTGGAAAACTGTTTTTATCAATCTTGAACATGGATGAGACATGTAGCTCAAACAACCACCAAGTTATTGTCTGACATCTAACGACCAAGTTATATTAATCACTACCCTTCTTTAAAGGAAATCCTCACAATCTGGATCCCCAATCTGATGGCAAGGTAGAACTACAAAGGAACTGGAGTCTCCAGCGATTTGAAGACTTTGTAATAGCTACCTACCCAGACCAACCTCTTGCAAGGACTGGATTTCGAATTGGCTGTTGCAGCAAGAGTAAGAGGGTGACGATTTTGGAGGATATACACAATGTCTTGGACATTGACAAGAAGGTGGGACGTGGACAGATCCTAATCATACCCAACAGGGATCTTCACGCTGTGTTGGTAAGTCAAAATTCACAAGAATTCTAAATTCTCATCAGTGGTTCAACTTGAGCCCAGCCTTAAAAGTCAGAATACAGTACAGGTTACCAGTGAAACCATTTTGCCTGTAGACACATTGATTGTTGCTATTCACCACCATGGATATTCTTAATTTTTTCTTTCATTATCCAATAATTTACTTATGAAATGTTCTCTTACAGTAAAACATAATTTTATGCAAATATATAAAATGTTTGACCTCTGAACAAAGGAGGTTTTTTGTTTGGGCTAATCCCAGCAAGGAGGCTGTCATTTTTGTCGAGCCCACCCGTAGGTGGAGAGAGACTAAGGGATCCAAATTGCGCCTGTCTGTCGTCCGTGATGCTTACAAAATTTGAACAACTTTCCAACCCTGCATCTGTTTATAACCAAACTTGATTGGAATATGTCCTATATGTATATTGGCCCCCATGATAGGCTGGGGTCAAAGGTCAAATGAGGTCGAATCTGAAAGTTTTGGGGTAAGAGTCTTATTAGGGTTGATAACTTTCCAACGCTACATGTGTTTGTAATCAAACATGATTGGTAGATGCCCCAGCGAAAAAATTAATATTTTTATTTCTGGGCCTCTTTTTCAGGGGCTTCTTTTATCATCTTGGGGGCTACAAATATCCGGGCTCTTTTTTTGAATTTCTCGGGCTACTATTAAGTTCTCATCTAATGCTGTAAGTGTTCATCTGATAAGCATTTGATCACGATCCAAATAGAAAAATTATTATTAAAAATCAACAAAATTAGCAACAAAAATATATATAGATCTATTTATATATATATATATATTTTTTATTTTTTTTTGGGGGGGCTCTTTTGGAACTTTGGGGGTAAATTCTCCCGCCGCCCCCATTTATTTTTTTCTCTGAGATGCCCTGTATTGGCCTCCAAGGTATGATGGGGTCAAAGTTCACATAAATAGGACAAAGGTCAAATTTGAAATTTACCTGCAAGACTCTATAATGGTTGATAACTTTCCAACCTTGCATCTGTAACCAAACTTCATTGGCATGAATGCTGCGGGCAATTGGATGAAACAGATTACGGCTATCACGTCTTTTTTTAAAACCTGGGGTTAGAATTGTTTACGGTGAAACTAAATGCTGTTTCTGAGCAAACAAGCTTGGTCTCTTTTTGTTAGTTCTTGCATCACAAGGCAAAATGGGAGCCAACACAAAGAGTTGTTTGGGGAATGGGGATTGCGTCACATTTTCAACCAATCCAAGTTTAATTTCTATTTCACCAAATCAGTACTATCCCTTTGTTTTGTTTCACAAATCACCTCATGAGAATCCTTGTCACAGGCATATAATATTGTTTGTTTGAAATAAGTTATGTCTTCTAACTATGCCCATGTCCTCATGTAAATCAACAGCCTCCAACCCAACAACCTCCAACCCAACAACCTCAGGTCAACCAGCCACCTCTTCATGAGCAACCCGCCCACCAGCCACGTCTTCGTGAGCAACCCGCCGATCAGCCACGTCTTCGTGAGCAACCCGCCGATCAGCCACGTCTTCGTGAGCAACCCGCCCACCAGCCACGTCTTCGTGAGCAACCCGCCGATCAGCCACGTCTTCGTGAGCAACCCGCCGATCAGCCACGTCTTCGTGAGCAACCCGCCGATCAGCCACATCTTCGCGAGCAACCCGCCGATCAGCCACGTCTTCGTGAGCAACCCGCCGATCAGCCACGTCTTCGTGAGCAACCCGCTGATCAGCCACGTCTTCGTGAGCAACCCGCCGATCAGCCACGTCTTCGTGAGCAACCCGCTGATCAGCCACGTCTTCGTGAGCAACCCGCCGATCAGCCACGTCTTCGTGAGCAACCCGCCGATCAGCCACGTCTTCGTGAGCAACCCGCTGATCAGCCACGTCTTCGTGAGCACCCCGCCGATCAGCCACGTCTTCAACAGGCAAGCAATTCCGTGTTAACTGACATTACAGTGCATAAATTTGCTTGGGCTGGGGGGGGGGGGGGCTATGTGTTGTATTTGCTTTGTGTCGTACATTGGACATTCACAAATTTTAATCAAATATTATTCAAAGGAAGTAGACATGATTGGGAAAAATGTTTGTGCTCTAGAAAGCTAATGGAAGTCTAATGCTATTCTGAAGAAAAAAAATTATTCAGATCATTCATAGAATTTTTTTTATAAATGCTGATATGCCTTGTGAAGTACAGGATTAGAGCAAACTTTGTATTTTTCAGGAAAGTGTGTACATCAAGAAGACTTTCAGAGCTGATTATAACTTATTCGTTAAAAATAATTGCATTAAATACTAAAAATGTTTTCATTACTTTTGAGGTCAAAGGGTACAGGTCACAATGACCATATTAATTTGAAATGATTTAATTGTGAATGTGTTGATAGATTGTCATCAAGTTTGGTCCATTTTCTTATCTTGAACAGCATATTCCCCTCCTCTCTTAGACCCCTGTTACACATACGTCTGAAAGTGAACTGATGTATGTATGTGTAACACCAACTTTTTTTGAAAGCCGGACTGAGACCGAACTGAGGCCAGGTGGACTCAGTCCACCTCTGGATGTGGTTTGAGGCCGGCCTCAGTCCCGCAATCAGTAGGTGTAACACCAAAGTGGACTCGGGGCCGGCTTATAAGCGGAAGTGACGTGACCTGTCATCATAATCAACATAATACATCAGGCGCGCTTTGCCACCTTCTCCTATGTTATTCTTTGTTTTTATCATTCTATCACTATCTCTTTCTGTCTTTCCTTATGTTATTCTTTGTTTCGTCCTTCTATCACCTTCTCTTATGTTATTCTTTGTTTTTATCATTCTATCACTATCTCTTTCTGTCTTTCCTTATGTTATTCTTTGTTTCGTCCTTCTATCACCTTCTCTTATGTAATTCTTTGTTTTTATCATTCTATCACTTTCTCTTTCTGTCATTCCTTATGTTTTTCTTTGTTTTTATCTTCTTTCTATCACCTTCTCTTATGTTATTCTTTGTTTTTTATAATTCTATCCCTTTCTCTTTCTGTCTTTCCTTATCTTATTCTTTGTTTCTTCCTTCTATCACCTTCTCTTATGTTATCCTTTGTTTTCATAATTCTATCCCATTCTTTTTCTGTCTTTCCTTATGTTATTCTTTGTTTTTATCATTCTATCACTTTCTCTTTCTGTCATTCCTTGTTTTTATTAGTTTTTTTCATTCTATCACTTTCTCTTTCTGTCTTTCCTTATGTAATTCTTTGTTTCTTCCTTCCATCACCTTCTCTAATGTTATTGCAATGACGGCCTTCGTCATTGCCTTGTTTTCGTTCACATTATTAATATTCTTACTTCTTCCTCTTCTTCTTGTCATCCGGAATCCCATTCGTTTTGCACGTAGTGCTTGTCATTCCTATCTAGGTCCTTTTCTCTTGCTCGATTCCTTTCAAACTTCGTAGGCGTAATCTCTGATATCCAATCTAGGTCACCTACTTTTTAGTTTTCTGAAATCACTCATGCGTAAACGTCCAGGCGCCATTTTGTCCGTTTCTGTTCCATTTTAAGGCCTTTCTATCTTCCTTCCTATCTCCACTATCCTAGATCCTACAAACTTCTAACAATTTTCTCTAGATAGTCTAAGAGATGTTCTTTAATCTGCGATGTATAATCTGCCCTTCAAAAAGCCATCTTCATACTCAAAATTCAAATCTGAAACCGTCTCCGTCAACAATCTCTTGAATTCTTGAAAAATTGACCTCTAAATAATCTAAAACTGCCATAACTTTCTCATATAAATTCTGTTTTGTATTTAAATCTCAAAGTATCTTCATCTCATAATTGCACATAGCCATGCCAAATTTCATGCTCCAATGGCTATGCAAAACATAAATAGCACCCTCTAAAGTTATGGGAATTGGCTTTCTTTCTGTGGCCGTATCTCCATTATGGCTTGGCAAACCCGTAACCTTTTTTGGATTTAGATACTTGAAGATATGCCCTTTCCAGCCATATACAAAATTATATACCCTAACACTGACCGACTTTCAGAAAAATGCCCTCCAAATTCGCTATTTTCAAGAAAATTACCTACATCAATGAAACTTGGCAGACATACATGTATGTATCTATATACGTAACAACTGTTTGCCTAGTTTGGTAAAATTGGCTTATGTCAGCGCAAAGTTATCGCCAAAAATGTTGAATTTACTATGCATTACGTAATAGTGCGTTTAATGCGTGCAATACATTTCGCGCAGATAACAGTGGTGTCAAACTGACCGCAACGAAGTGCCCTTTCTAATGATACCAATTATGGTATATGTTCACACAGAAAATTGTGAGTAAATCGCATTTGAACAAAGGTCACTATACGAATTCCGCTGAGTTTCCGCCTGAATCTAACACGTATCGGCTAAGACGTCATTTTTTCAGACTGCTTTTCGCCCCTTAAACAACCTTTTTTTCCCTTGAAAATTTGCAGTGACATGCCGAGTTCCAATACGCAGGGCACCTCGTGGCCGGATTTTGGAAATTGGTCAAGGGGGCCATTTAAGACGTCATTTTGTCCTATAAATCTATTTTACTTCATGTGTTTTGATAGGATTATCATAGAAAAAAAGAGAGTAGTTTACAATAACAACCATGAAATTCTCTTTCTAATGATACCAAATACGGCCCATAAAGAGACGTAAAGAGAGAGAGAAAAAACAATTTCACTCCGGTCATAATACAGATCATGTACGTTTTCCGCCCATGCATTACACGCATTGTCTATGGGGCATATCGGGTTCACGCTATTGGCCCCCAGAACGATCTTGATTGCAATGATGAACATGCACCAAATCCCATTGGTTTTTGCACGCAGTGCTTGCGAGCCCTTTCTAGGTTCTTTCCCCTATCCCAATTTCTTTCAAACTTCGTAGGCATAGTCACTACCATCCCATCAAGGTCACTGTTGAGGCCTTTCTTTCGCCCTACCTATCTCCAATATCACAGAAGCTACAGACTTCGTACAAATTGCTCTGGAAAGTACGAGAGAAGCTCTTTCGTTTGACACATAGAAACATGGCGTCATTGCACGCACATCGTTGTGACACGATTGCATTTCTAGTTCTTAGTTTTTATCATTCTATCACTTTCTCTTTCTGTCTTTCTGAAGTCCGCCCCAACGTCAGCTCGTGAAAAGGCGACGTGAGGCCGGCCTATGTGTAGACCCAAAATTGCGGGCCCGAGATCATGTGAAACAGGCGTTTAATGATCTCCAGGCGGCTTCAAATTGCAGACGTGAGGCCGCCTCCGGGGCCCGCTTTAAAAGCCGACGCCTGTGTAACAGGGGTCTTATTTTTGTCGAGCTCACTTAGGCGTCCTTCTGTCCCCCGTCCGTCTGTGAAGTTACCAAAATTTGAATAACTTTCCAACCCTGCATCTGTTTGTAACCTACCTTGATTGATAGATGCCCTATATCGGCCACAAAATGCCATTGTGATCACTCATCCCTAGCGGTGAAGGATCTTAACTGGTTCATACACATAATTAAAATTTGTGATTATTTTATCCAATATATTTTGGCCTCTTGTTGGTTTATTAACGACTTGGAGAAAAAAAACTTAATTTTTTTCAAATTCGGCTCACATCAATATCATTAAAATCACCAGTCACAGCAAATCCTGCCTCTGGATATTTTATTAATAACTGGTCTATAATGGATATTATTACCCGTATCAGACATCTGAGCAGTGGTTTTACAAACTCATATTACACTTGCTGGTTATCCTAAAAGGGCTAATCGGGGAATATGAGACCATATTTACCTTTCATTAAAGGTAAAGACCAGTTATGGTCATGCGATTGCATCGTGAAAGAAACGTTGTGGAATCGATCAGAAAAGGTTGATCATCTAGCATCTAGCATCTGCAAAGTTCTGGAATCATCAAAATGATAAGAAATTTGGCCCATTCTGCATAAAGTTACAAGTACTATACACAGAAAGATGTATATGGGACTTCCCTATATCTCTCGCAGTCCATGAGAGAAACAAATTTACCAAATATGTGAATTAGTAGGTGGTTTTCCGGCAAATTTTTTATCATCATGTATTAGTCAAAACATATTCTTTCACATGATTGGTAATGAGAGCTTCCATTTCATTTTTTGAAATTGGGGCGTTTCCAATACTGGTCTTTACCTTTAAAAAGCCTATGGACTTTACGTGTTAAAAAGGCATGAGATATAAGACCATATTCACCGCGCCGTATTTTGTCATTTTTATTGCGCATCTATTATGCGTACGAGAACCTGCGCATTTTGCGCGTACTCTTTTGCACTCAATTTTTTATCATCATGTATTAGTCAAAACATATTCTTTCACATGATTGGTAATGAGAGCTTCCATTTCATTTTTTGAAATTGGGGCGTTTCCAATACTGGTCTTTACCTTTAAAAAGCCTATGGACTTTACGTGTTAAAAAGGCATGAAATATAAGACCATTTTCACCGCGCCGTATTTTGTCATTTTTATTGCGCATCTATTATGCGTACGAGAACCTGCACATTTTGCGCGTACTCTATTGCACGACGTAATAATCACACCAAATTGGGTACACTGTTTGCAGTGTATCGAAAATTTTGTCAAGCAGCTGGATGCACAGTGCTGGTTTGACAAAGCTTGTTCAGTTCTATGAGATTGTCATGTATGTATTTGCTCTAGATGTCTGATTTAGATAATAATAACAATATTGACTGGCTTAACTTTCGGGAGATACCACATATATTTCCCTCACAAGAACCATATTGCCCTCATCTTTGACTCGGGGAAATATGAGTCTAGTTTGGGAATTATTATCTCGTATCTCCCTTAATAAGGCCAGTCCATATTATATAATTTTTCTGAGCTGGGATGCTTGGGAGGATAATACACGACACATAATACGATGCTTGAAATTCTCCTTGGTAATCGCGGTGGTCGTAGGGGAATCCAGATGACTTCCAGCTCATCATGTACGTCGATTGGGAGGGCCTGTGGTTTGAAACGATGCTTAATGTAGGCTGGTTCCAAACGGGCCAACCATTTGCGAGTGCACCAATGCTATTCACGCGTAAGTTTGTAGACGATAGATTCCCGGGCGATTCGTTCGCTCTGCACATTGGCTTTAGAATGGTGATGCGTTTTCCAATTACATATTTTGATAACTTGTTGATTGAATGGAATATTTAAAATGAACCTTTCTTTAATAAGAATAATATTTTTTGGTGGTAGTAATAGTAATAGTACCCTTAATTGTTTGGTATATCTTTGATCGAAGAGAGCCAAATCTCTGTATGGTGTTGCCCTTTAACGCTGATTTTTTTCTTTCATTTGTTATTTTATTTGTATTACTTTAGCCCGAAGAGGCAGAAGCGTTCATCGTTTTGTCGGATTTCGAACTCAGCAGTGACGAGGTAAGCAAATATAATGACTACAATATTGTGTGTCTCAAAAAGAATGGTACAGTCAGGAAAAATTATCGGATATTAAAAATCTTTTGTTTTTTAAGCCCTTTGCAAACAGAGCCAACTCGATTTGATCCAACTGGTTTTTTATTCGGATTGGCACAGTTTTCAGTGCCTTGAGACACACATTTTGCCAATCGAGAGACAGTCGGATGCAATTCAGGACCGATTCAATACGATGAATTTGCTCTGTCCGACTTGGCCCGACTCTAGTCTGATTGATACCAATTGGGTCGAGTCGACTCTGTCTGCAGAGCTGTTTTTATCCCCCTGCATAGAGTACTGATAAGCAATGATGCTGTCAAGGAAACTATCCATGCAGAGTTGATTCTATAACCTGTAGTTTGACAGGGCTCTTACTTTAATCAATCCTTGAAACATCAAGCTACCACCCCAACATGACAGAAACTATTGCAATGTAAGTCACGGTGTTACAGTGACTGTATCACCGTGACCAAAATTCAACCATTTTAAAATTAATTAATGAAATGTTCGATCAATTTTCACTTTAATACTTGTTTATTGTAGATATGTGTGGTCATGATTTGGACAACTTCAGTTCTTCTTTCTGTGTTATTTATTTTCATACAATGCCAAAAATGTCAATTTTTACCGTGACAATATTCTTAATCATAAATGAATTGTTTATTGAAGGGTATTACAATGAAAAAGTGAACTTCAATGATTTTTGGTATCACATGCAACCCTAAACCTCTGAGAAAATATAATAAGGTTTTACCTCCTGTCTTACTTCCTCTTAATTGCTACATTCATTTATTTGCAGCGTGTTTAGCAGACATTTGGGTGAAAATTAATTATTCATAATTTATGCGCATACTTCGATATGTTCCTGATGGCTCTGTATATGTTTTACTGTCAGACTTGAACAATTTGGTTCTTTAGCTTTATTTTGATACCAGAATTAATAGTATCTGACCAGTTTGAAAATGTTCTTTGGGATCCTTAACTCTAATTCCATTGGGTTATTTTGATCACTTGAGTCCATGGGGGGGGGGGGGGGGCCTTTTTGCCCCCCCCCCTCGGATCTCGGCAAATAATAGACCAATTGACTTGAAAATTAGCACAGTCGTAAAACAAGTTGGGTAGAATAAAAATGTAAAAAAAAAAAATTTAAAAATGACTTTTTTTTAAATTTATAATATATTCAAATTTTGAATATGCAAATTTTTGACGAATTTTGGTAAAAAATTGGAATTATCATCTGAAAGCAGGAGAAATGACAGGATTTATTCAGGTTTTCTGTAAAAATACTTTCAAATGATGTAGTTCATTCATATCCATGTTTTTATGGTAAAATATATATGACTAAGTAATTTGCATAAATTATGCAAATATAGCTCGAGAATCAGGATATTTCCTTATTTCTTTTGTTTTTCATTGTTTTTATTCATATGTATTTTATTGTTTTGATTTTTGTTGTTGTTTATTTTAGAAGAATTTGTCTCTGAAGTGTTTGAAATAAACTAATAACAAAGAAATAATCAAAATTATAATTCAATGTAACAATTATAACAGATCTGGAGTTTACATGGCATTGGATGTATGAATCACATAGAAACGTGTAAAAAATCTGCAGTTTTTTGTGACGGTCAAGCGATTATCGACCTCTAAAATCAGTTCTACATGTCCAACCGGGGTGAATTGCATATCAAAATATGCGGGAAAATTGAGAGAAAAAAGTCATGAAGTTTCAACGTGAAATTTTAATCGGTCTAGATGCACGGCGAAAAAAACGAAAGGGGGGGCCTAAAAGGCCTAAAAGGCCCCCCCCCCCCCCCCCCAATGGGATTAGGGTTAAGGTACTATGTCCCATTTGCAGGCCCAAAAAATGAAAAAGGTTAAATTCCAACAGCATTTGAAAGATAATACTAATTTAGAACTTCCCTAAAAAAAGGGGGGCTTGAAAATGTTTTTGAGTGGGAAAATAACGACTATTAGTTGTCGAATCGACTTAAGTGCTACCAAGTCGTAAGTAATAGTCTGATTTTCAGACCATTGTACCGAATGGTCGTACATTTTGTGCTGCGCAAAGATTCAATCAGTTTAATTTTTGCCATTACTAGAATAATAATAATATATAATTTTTATATAGCGCTTAATACAAATGTCTCTAAGCGCTTTACAAATATACTATTACCCCGGTCATTGGATTCAGTGCTTGCCCGCACACTGTGCACAATCTCTACTCCCTGGGGAGCATTCCAGCCGGGCGTTACTTGACGCTCACAAGCTGTTTGACCAACAATGACGGTCGCATCCTACCGGGTACCCATTTGACACCTGGGTGGAGAGTAGCAAGTGCAGGTTAATATAGAAGTGGGTTATTGATGTAGACACATGCTCATGTACCATTTACCGCTCATTTTATGTATGTTATTACCAAAGATGTAAAAAGCCAGCCAGTCACTCAATAGTGTCTGACAGTGAAGTCTAGCAAGTAAACGGGTTTCCTTGCATAATTTGAATATTAGGACACTGCTAACGTTTAAATTTCACAGATAGGACATACATGACATACTGTATTCATAATTCCTGCACAGTTCTACAGAATTTGATGTTGGCTGCAAAAGGGACATAGTATCTTTAAGGGGGGCGGGGGGGAATCAAATTGACCCCCCAGTAGAACATGTTCTAAGTAAAAAATAGGGATAGGAAATAGTTGAGATTTGGTATCAAGGGTGATACACAGAATATTTTTTGGGTGAGATAATGAAACTGAGCATTTGCACTAGACGAATATTAGCATTTGTATGTATGTTTACAGACCCATGAACGCATGCATTTTTCAATATATATAATTTTTTCTGGAGACACCTTCAGAACTTGTTGGAATGGACTATTAATGGTGGTAAGCTTTAATTTTCATTTGCTATTATATAACATTGAGGTCAGTGTATAGTTTTTGCACACAAGATCTTGATTGAGGATTCAGATGTTTTTTCCCCTTAATTCCTTGATCCTTTCTAGTCACTTGATGACCATACACCAAATGAAGAACAAAATGCCGAAACTGGAACCCCAACTATCGTGATCCAGCCCAACAGACGAGGTAATTATTTGTATGCCTCCGCAACGAAGAAGGCGGAGGCATTATTTTTTGGGTTTGTCCTGTTTTTGTGGTTGAGAAACAATTGACAAATCTATCTTGGGTTGCCAATAAATTGCTTATATTACGGGGTCAAAGGTTACATAGCTCAATATATGTGACCGGCTAAAGCAAAACCAAGCACTTGTTGGTAATTCATGTTTTGAAAAAATAGGCATTTTATAGGGACTTAGTAACATTGTCCAAATCCTCAAAATCAAATTTGAATTCTAGCGGTTCCCTCATCCCTTGTTATATTTGTATTAACAATAAAATCATTGGACACGTTTCGGTTTTTATGCCTCCGCTACAAAGTAGCCGGAGGCATTTTGTTTTCTGGTTGTCCGTCCGTCCGTCCGTCCCGTTCTCGTGATCTCCTTATCTCAAGAACCGATTGATGGATTACCGCAAAACTTGAGTAATATATGTATCTTGCAGAGCTAATGAACTGATTAGATTTTGGGGTCATGAGGTCAAAGGTCATGGGGCTCATTATGTATGCATATAAATGGCTTGTTAATGCATTATAATTAGAACTGGCAGATGGATTACTATCAAACTTGATTATTAAAAATTGCTTCCGTTTTGGTTTGTAAAATCGATCTATGGCGGAGGCATCATTTCCAACTGCGCGCAGTCGAAGTTCCATCTAGTTCAAATTTCCCTTTCGTTACAAAGATATATATGATTGATAATAAATTATCTGTTGTATTTTCGAAACCATGTACAAAGTGAGTTAGTGAATATCACTTTGCATTTTTGCTCATTACTCGGCCATGCAATGTCCTTTTGACTTGACATTTTCACACAATACCCTGTGGACATATCAGATAACAACAATATACATTGCATCAACCATTTATCACGAACCCGAGACCTCCGGATTGCTAAATCGGTGCTCTTTCGACCGAGCTATAGAAAACCCTAGTACGGTGCAAAAGTGCATGTTCGTTCAGGCTTGATATATTAAACGCGCAAATGAGGCAACATATTGTCTCGCATAGTCGAAGTCCCATCTAGTTAATTTTGTATTGGTATACATCTGATCAGCAGCAGTATTGAAAGGATCATTGTACATTAATTGCAGGGAAAAAATTAATATTTTAATTTGGTGGGCTCCCTTTTAAATTTTATGGAAGTTTCCGGGGACTACTTATTCAAATTTCGAGGGCTACTTATATAATTTCTTTTGTTTTTCGTTCGAAATATCATGGGCTACTATTTAGCTCTGAAGCAGGCCTTCTTAGCTGGCGGCGCGCGCGCCACTTGTGGCGCTTGCGGTCACTCGGAGTGGCGCGCGACTGTTGCAACAACAAAACAAAAACAGAAAGAAAGAAAATATATTTTTAGAATTAAATACTCAGCTAAATCAAGAAGTTGCAGTCGAATTTGAGCCCAAAATGCCTGCTTAACAAACAGGAAGAAAGGGGAATATATCGTTTTTTACCATTTTATACAAATCTAAACCTAAGGTCTAGCTGAACAACAATTATAGCTTACGATGGGAAACCAATTTTAACATTGCCATCTCTGGAAACATCTTGTTTTTGTTTGTTTGATTTTCACTTTATTTTGACATTTCCCATGTTTATTGCACACAAAAAACCACATATAAATATACCTCCAGTGTAATTGTACCCAGGAATTGTACTAATTTTTTCACATCAATATGAAATTATGATTGATTATATTGTGGAATGAAATGGTGCTAGGAATGCCCCATTTTGGCCTTTAGAAAGCCCTAAATCCACCAGCTTCATGGGGCTCCGCCCCCTGTTACCTGTTAGGGCTTCACCCCTGGACCCCACCCATTTTCGGCTCGGTCGCTATGCTCCCTCGCAGCACAGTCAACCATAAAGGGGGGCACTTCAACTACAATTAATTTTTGTTTTGGCACTTCTAATAAACTAGTTGAGAAGGCCTGCTCTAAAGCTTTATAGGTACTATGTCCCATTTGCAGGCCCAAAAAATGAAAAAGGTTAAATTCCAACGGCATTTGAAAGACAATACTAATTCAGAACTTCCCTAAAAAAGGGGGGGGGTTGAAAATGTCTTTAAGTGGGAAAATAACGACTATTAGTTGTCGAATCGAATCGAGCTTTAGAGCCAGTAAGTAAAAGTCTGATTTTTCAGACCATTGTACCGAATGGTCATACGTTTTATGCTGCGCAAAGATTCAATCAGTTTAATTTTGGTAATTACAAGAAGTGGGTTATTGATGTAGACAAATGCTCCTGTACCATTTACAGCTCATTTTATGTATGTTATTACCAAAGATGAAAAAAGCCAGTCAGTCACTCAATAGTGTCTGACAGTGAAGTCTAGCAAGTAAACAGGTTGCCTTGCATAATTTTAATATTAGGACACTGCTAACGTTTAAATTTTACAGATAGGATATACATGACATATTCATAATTCCCGCAAAGTTCTACAGAATTTGATGTTGGCTGCAAAAGGGACATAGTATCTTTAATTGATGACCTGATTGGCATTCGGTCTTGATCCGGGCGATTTCACCCATTGCCCCTGTGTATTTTTACTCTGGTACATTGAAATATCATAACATACATAGTATAAATAAATGTGACATTTAAATTTAAATCAATTTAAAATATTTAATGTAGAGTACCTAATATATAAAGTGAACCACTTGATAAGTTAAAGGGATAGTTGAGTTCTCGTTGAGAGAGTACAGTTTTAATCAAACTTAATTATAGTATCCAAAACCTGCACCATTACATTACAAACTAATATTTATTACTCCACCATGCCCTAAAGGAATTAAAAAAGGACAATTGACCAAGTAAAAAGCATGTTATCATTAAAATAGAGCAGTTTAAAAATGAAGAGAATGCTTCCAAAAACGCATTTGTTTGAACCATTTAAAATAAAATATAGTACATGTGCTGTTTTTGTTGAAATAGTGACAACTATTTAAAAACCTATTAAACCAATTAAGCCGCTGCTAGAACCGATATTGATCAAATAAAGTTGATTCTGCCATTGAAATTGTGTGCTCTAATTTTGTGGAGCGCCCTCTCTACTGAAACTCAACTATCCCTTTAAACAAAGCTATTAAGAGGTTAAATGACATTTAATTTGATACATGATTTTCGAAAAGAAATAAAACATCAAATCATCTACAAGTTTTCAAATAATGGTTTGATGTGGTGAAAACTGTCAAACAGAGTAGCTACGTTTAGTGCATGAATGATGTGATTTTATCATTGAACCATCATGGGTTTATATGTGCAGATGTAACTATTTGGCAGCTAGACAAAGTAGCAACCCTATTGGGTTTTCTGTAAATACCAATGGGCCCAATTGTTTTGGTACATATATCTTCCAAAGTAGAAATTCTAGTTTGGGTAATGTTATATGTGAATTGAACAAGCACTTTTTGAGAAGGATTTATTTTCATCAAGTCTCACTCTTGAGAACTAATTTCTGATTCTATACATTCCCTATAAGAATACATTTGAAACATTACAATTTGTTCTAAAATGTGAGGCTTGATGAAAATATATTCATCTAAATTTTTTGGGAAAAGTCATCATGGTTAACGGTCTTATAATGTTTTAACTTACATGTATCATAAACTCTAATTTATACCAGCATGGTCCTTGTAAACGTTCAGCATTATCATTTTTCTTTTCTCTTTCTCTCTCTCACCCCTTAAGCATTCTCGAACCTTGAAGCACTGCTACAGGCCGAGGAGATCACGGTCGTGTTTCACCGTAGCCGGTTAATGGAGGAAATGCTGGAATTCTACAAAAACGCCAGCACCGTTAACAAGCGCCTCAAGGTAATCTTTGATGGTGAAGACGGGGAGGATATTGGGGGTTTGACTCGTGAAGCCTTCACATCCTTCTGGAATGCCGCCCATCGGGTATATTTCGCCGGAGAAAATGTATGCCTACCGTTTCTCCCGAATCACCGCATGCACAAAGAGAGGGAAAACATGGTTAGCCTGGGAAGGATTTTGAGCCACACAGCCTTGTTAACGAAGACCTTCCCAAGCTACATTGCCAAAAGTGTGTACATTGCAATAGTTTTCAACTCAGATGTCAACGAAACCTGTCTCCTCGAAGACCTGAAGGAGTACGTGACAAGGCCAGAGAGAAGGCTGATCTCGAAGGCCTTGTCAGACTTCGATTCAATGTCACCAGCAGATGTTGATGACCTCACGCAAGTGTTCATGGCATGCGACTTCCATGCCATCCCCTCGAAAGGGGAGGTCAGGGCACAACTGCTTGCGATTGCAGATTTGATTTTTGTGCAGAAGCCAGCACCCATCTACCGCCTTATAAGGCAAGGCATACCAGAGGAGCACATCCTGACCTTCTGGTCCCAACTGTCTATTGATGACATATCAATCATTCTGAAGGCTCAGAAGCCTACTCCTAGGAGGGTGTCCGCTGCCATCAATACAGGAGAATTAGACGACCTAAACAATAATCAGGACAGAGTGCTTTATTTTCTGAGGCAGTATATTAACAGTCTACGGGCAGAAGAATTGCAGGACTTTCTGCAGTTTTGCACAGGTTCAATCCACATGCCACTCGACGGGATCAAGGTGTGCTTTAACAAAAACTTTGGTTCTCTGAGGAGACCAATTGCCCACACATGCAGCAATGTGTTGGAGATTTCAGAACTTTACACCACATACCAAGAATTTCGTAGGGAATTCCACCTATATCTTTCCAATAGCATGTCCTTCACATTTTCTTCTCTGTAAAGTAACAGTATATAAGTTGTATATTTGTTAAGATCAAAGAAATCTCATCATTAACATTACTTTCAGAGAATTTTTTGTGTTGATAGATCACTATCCATTCATGGATAGCTGTAATATCTGTACATATAACCATTTATAATAGCCACAATAATTTGATAATTTGGAAACAGCAGCTGAACAATTTTCATAAATGCCTCCCCTTTTCAAAAATTTACAAGAGAGATTTTTAAATAGTGGTTGATTATCTCTTTATTTAACCACTTTTTCAACAAACATCACATGCACTATATTTTATTTGTTATGGTTTAAAGCAATGAGTTTTTAGCGAGGCCCCTCTATTAGTTTTAACGATAACGGGTTTTTACTTCGTCTTTTTGAATCGTTATTCAATTTGAATAGGTGGAGTTCTAGATATTAGTTTGTAATGTAATGGTGCAGGCTTACTAAATTTCAGATTTACCAAAACTGTACTCTCTGTACCAAAACACAACTATCTTCCCGGGCAAGGCTCAACGCTCGCACTGGCCTGCTGGTCCGGGGCCAGTGAACCTACAAGCCAAGTATATATTTTATATCACCAACAACTCAGCACCTTGCCATGAAATTTTGTTTTATGTTGATTTATCATTGGAATAGGGACTGTAGATAAAACATTGGTATCAATTTTTGCGACATCATAAGAATATTTAATCAATATGTAACAGTGTGATGTAACATTCATTCTGTAAATACAATTAGAATTTAGCCTTCTTTTCGAAATAGAATCTTGCATCATTTAAGAGTATTTTGTTCTTGCCAAGTTTAATTGTGATATATTTAAAGGCCCAAGTAATGTTACGACCAAGAAAAGATTTTTCTAAATATATACATGTATATTATAACTAACTTGTGTACCTCAGAAAACACCATGAAATTGCCTGTGGAGCTCACTGTCACTTTTTTTTGGTCTGAATATTTTTATAGATATTCACGTAATGGATTATTTATTATTGGTTTTTTGAAGGTTGAAATCTGCTGGTTGTAATGTAGGGTCCTGTACAAAGTCTAAATTCAGGAAACCTGAGACTGTCAAGGTTTTGCACCCAGTAAGGTTTTGCAAAGAAAAATAGGGTGTCCATGATTTATAGCGCATAAGCGCATGCTGGGCACTGGGCAGGTACCCTAGGTTCTAGTGGATATGTCAATTTGTTTTAATACTATGCTCCTTATGCGTTATCTCCTGTCTTAATACTGAATGCAATGTAGGAAAGAGCAGGAAGCCATTGAAGAGTAGTTGATTTGAGTGCCAGTAATTATAGTGCTTCTGCAGTATACAAGCGCTATGCAGGCCGTTTGAAGGGTTTGTGTGCCTAAACTCATTGTGTTGGACTGTTTTTCAGCACAAGGTGACCTTCAGTTCTGTTTTTGCTTGTTGGTTAGTTAGAGGAAGGGAGGATTTGGCATTAATGTAGAAAAGCATCGGACCAAAACAGATCTTTGAGGGTTCTAGCTGCATATGAGCTTGTTTGTCCTCCGAGTGAAATTCTGAATCTTCTATTGCTGAGTATGGAAGCAAGGATGTGCATGGTTGTCTGACACTTGGAGATACAGGAAGCTTTGAGCAGCAGGCCATGTCTCCAGAAACTGTCGTATCCTGATGAGAGGTTAATCAATGCCTGTTTTGAAAGCATGTTAATATCCTGCTTCGATGAAGGTAGTGAGAGCTACGATTTGATCAGCAAAACTCTTTTTAGGGGGTCTGAAGCTTGCTTGATCATTTGAAAGAACAATGAGCTAAGCCTGGCCAGAAGGAGAACAGTGTGTAAGATGTAGTATCCAAGGTCGTTTGCAGGTTTCACTGGTTTAAGGATCGCAATTACTTTAGCCTCTCTCCAATCCTCTGGTCTGGATATCTGCGGCTTTCTTCCATTTTACATTGATGAAGATGGCTGTCCTTCCTTTGAAGTGTTCATGCTCCTGTCAGAGTCGTCCTTTAATCAATTGAAAAGATTAAACCGGCTTGATTGAGGTCCTCTACACGGTCTATGTTTGGGAAATTCATTCCAACTATTAGTCATGCATGTTTCTACCATCAGGTAATATTCTGTGTATTCAAGAAATCGTGCCTAAGACCAAAAGGATGTCCATTTTTAAGGTGCATGTTGGTTATGTTCCCTAGATCATTGTATATAGGTAGGGCGTAGGTTTGTGTATGTATGCTCCTGTATTCAAACTTGAGGCAGAGGTTGTTGGAGAGAGCATGGAACTATTAAAGATGTGTTGCTAGTAATCATTCTTATGGCTAAATTTTGAATGGAGTTACCTGCTTGGTATAATAGCTCTCTGTCCATACCTTAAGTATTACGATGGTACAGACACCACAAGGGCTATTGCCCATACAAGCTGTTTTGAAGGGACTTGTGCTTGAACCCATGCTGTTCCCTGCTAGTTTGTAGGGTAATGTTGACGCTGGTCTTGAATTATATAGATATCTTTTTAGATATTAGGGTAGCCTATGGTCCAAGGTATTTGAGGTATTCTTGATGTTAGACTGTGTCTCCACTAAAACTGACCGAACGCTGTATATTTGCATGCCAGTTAATGAGTTTGAAAGAAGTAATTGAAGTCTTGGTATCGTTGGGAAGAAGGTGCCAGTATTAGGTGAAGTAATCCTCCATATACTTTAAGGGTTACATCAGATGTGGTGATCAATGTATTAAAATCTTTAGATTATGTAGCAAGTAAAAGATTTTGTGTGTGGGCAGATTTCGTGGATGTGGTCTTCGGCAGGTCACTTCATGTCCCGTATGTTGAGGTGTTGAGTCAAATGTGCTAATATTAAAAACGGTCAATGGTTTATAGTACGTATCTTTTTTAATCCATTTGATTACATGTATAGCATAGTTTTACAAAGAGAGTTTAATACAGATACATGTCTATGTTATGTGATTTGTCGTATGGTGCTCATAAGTCTGGGCCATAACCATAATTGTATTCAATGTTAAGCTTTGCAAGTAAACTTGTATTCTTCAAGGATATTCATTGGATAAACACATTTGTTAGGAACACAATCAATTTTGTTTTGACCTGCCCACCTTACATTGAGTAAGCTTGCAGTATTACCAGTGTGTTTATTTCATTGTTCGTGCAAAGTATGTGTGTGCTATGAAGTTTGAAGGCCAAAGTTATGTTTCAACTCAGGAAATAGTTGTCTAAATATATATATATATATATATATATATATATAACTAGACAGATTAAATGGTGCCTGTGTATCTCGTAAAACAACACAAAAGTGCCTTTTGATCCAACTGTTGATCTATTTTTTCAGATATATAATGTGCTCATTTATTATAGGTTTGTGCTGGTTAAATTGATATGTAAGAACTGTAAAGAGTACTGCCATCATTGCTGAAATACCTCTTGCCTCTGCTTTGGTACTTACCAGTACTTTTTTTGCCTCATATTTAATTATATGTATAACACATTTGTATTAAAAGTTTGTCAACCTGCAATGTCAGAGGATCTTGTCTGTAATGTATGAAAAGAATGTTTGTAATTATGCTGTATTGTGTTCAGTTTTGGCAAAAACCATACTGTTTTATGATGTTTTATAGAATCAACTGTTTATTTCTGAGACATATTTATGCATTATATAACATCGTGTCTCGGTTAGTATTTCTAATCAGACCAGCATTTGTTGTGTGATGAATCCCCTCAGAACTATGTGAGAAATATTAGAAAGGACAGACATTTACCACATGCTGCACAGTGCACAGACGGGTCTGGGTACCTGCAATAACATGCAGGGCTAGTCATTCATTTTACATTGATGAAGATGGCTGTCCTTCCTTTGAAGTGTTAATGCTCCTGTCAGAGTCGTCCTTTAATCAATTGAAAAGATTAAACCGGCTTGATTGAGGTCCTCTACACGGTCTATGTTTGGGAAATTCATTCCAACTATTAGTCATGCATGTTTCTACCATCAGGTAATATTCTGTGTATTCAAGAAATCGTGCCTAAGACCAAAAGGCATACTTGCATGCCAGTTACCGAATTGGAAAGAAGTAATTGAAGTCTTGGTATTGTTGGGAAGAAGGTGCCAGTATTAGGTGATTAATTCTCCATATACTTTAAGGGTTACATCAGATGTGGTGATCAATGTATTAAAATCTTCAGATTATGTAGCAAGTAAAAGATTTCGTGTGTGGGCAGATTTCGTGGATGTGGTCTTCGGCAGGTCACTTCATGTCCCGTATGTTGAGGTGTTGAGTCAAATGTGCTAATATTAAAAACGGTCAATGGTTTATAGTACGTATCTTTTTTAATCCATTTGATTACATGTATAGCATAGTTTTACAAAGAGAGTTTAATACAGATACATGTCTATGTTATGTGATTTGTCGTATGGTGCTCATAAGTCTGGGCCATAACCATAATTGTATTCAATGTTAAGCTTTGCAAGTAAACTTGTATTCTTCAAGGATATTCATTGGATAAACACATTTGTTAGGAACACAATCAATTTTGTTTTGACCTGCCCACCTTACATTGAGTAAGCTTGCAGTATTACCAGTGTGTTTATTTCATTGTTCGTGCAAAGTATGTGTGTGCTATGAAGTTTGAAGGCCAAAGTTATGTTTCAACTCAGGAAATAGTTGTCTAAATATATATATATATATATATATTATAACTAGACAGATTAAATGGTGCCTGTGTATCTCGTAAAACAACACAAAAGTGCCTTTTGATCCAACTGTTGGATCTATTTTTTCAGATATATAATGTGCTCATTTATTATAGGTTTGTGCTGGTTAAATTGATATGTAAGAACTGTAAAGAGTACTGCCATCATTGCTGAAATACCTCTTGCCTCTGCTTTGGTACTTACCAGTACTTTTTTTGCCTCATATTTAATTATATGTATAACACATTTGTATTAAAAGTTTGTCAACCTGCAATGTCAGAGGATCTTGTCTGTAATGTATGAAAAGAATGTTTGTAATTATGCTGTATTGTGTTCAGTTTTGGCAAAAACCATACTGTTTTATGATGTTTTATAGAATCAACTGTTTATTTCTGAGACATATTTATGCATTATATAACATCGTGTCTCGGTTAGTATTTCTAATCAGACCAGCATTTGTTGTGTGATGAATCCCCTCAGAACTATGTGAGAAATATTAGAAAGGACAGACATTTACCACATGCTGCACAGTGCACAGACGGGTCTGGGTACCTGCAATAACATGCAGGGCTAGTCATTCATTTTACATTGATGAAGATGGCTGTCCTTCCTTTGAAGTGTTAATGCTCCTGTCAGAGTCGTCCTTTAATCAATTGAAAAGATTAAACCGGCTTGATTGAGGTCCTCTACACGGTCTATGTTTGGGAAATTCATTCCAACTATTAGTCATGCATGTTTCTACCATCAGGTAATATTCTGTGTATTCAAGAAATCGTGCCTAAGACCAAAAGGCATACTTGCATGCCAGTTACCGAATTGGAAAGAAGTAATTGAAGTCTTGGTATTGTTGGGAAGAAGGTGCCAGTATTAGGTGATTAATTCTCCATATACTTTAAGGGTTACATCAGATGTGGTGATCAATGTATTAAAATCTTCAGATTATGTAGCAAGTAAAAGATTTTGTGTGTGGGCAGATTTCGTGGATGTGGTCTTCGGCAGGTCACTTCATGTCCCGTATGTTGAGGTGTTGAGTCAAATGTGCTAATATTAAAAACGGTCAATGGTTTATAGTACGTATCTTTTTTAATCCATTTGATTACATGTATAGCATAGTTTTACAAAGAGAGTTTAATACAGATACATGTCTATGTTATGTGATTTGTCGTATGGTGCTCATAAGTCTGGGCCATAACCATAATTGTATTCAATGTTAAGCTTTGCAAGTAAACTTGTATTCTTCAAGGATATTCATTGGATAAACACATTTGTTAGGAACACAATCAATTTTGTTTTGACCTGCCCACCTTACATTGAGTAAGCTTGCAGTATTACCAGTGTGTTTATTTCATTGTTCGTGCAAAGTATGTGTGTGCTATGAAGTTTGAAGGCCAAAGTTATATTTCAACTCAGGAAATAGTTGTCTAAATATATATATATATATATATATTATAACTAGACAGATTAAATGGTGCCTGTGTATCTCGTAAAACAACACAAAAGTGCCTTTTGATCCAACTGTTGGATCTATTTTTTCAGATATATAATGTGCTCATTTATTATAGGTTTGTGCTAGTTAAATTGATATGTAAGAACTGTAAAGAGTACTGCCATCATTGCTGAAATACCTCTTGCCTCTGCTTTGGTACTTACCAGTACTTTTTTTGCCTCACATTATATTACATGTATAACACATTTGTATTAAAAGTTTGTCAACCTGCAATGTCAGAGGATCTTGTCTGTAATGTATGAAAAGAATGTTTGTAATTATGCTGTATTATGCTTATGGTGCTCATAAGTCTGGGCCATAACCATAATTGTATTTAATGTTAAGCTTTGCAAGCAAACTTGTATTCTTCAAGGATATTCATTGGATAAACACATTTGTTAGGAACACAATCAATTTTGTTTTGACATTTTGACTTCGCAATTTAGATCGCATGAACTCGTGCTTTAGAATGGCGATTTGTTTTTTTTCAATTATATATTTTTTCTGGGAATATGTTTTTTTGAACTTGTTGACATAATGTAATACTAAAGATGTTACATTTGTTTAATAAGAATACCGTAATATTTTTGGGTTGTGGTACCCTTTAACATGTTCAACTGGCTTTCGATATTCAGACATTATTTTTCATACTTTTTATGAAAATGAAGTTCAAATTTGAAAACTCTAAAAACAGATTTGTTAATGACTTCATATCTTCTGTTCTCTATAAACGCTTACTCTTGTTGAAAGACAGTAGATTGCTAGAATTGTATAGCTTGTAAGTTGTGCATACATGTTTAATAAAAGTAATCTCTACCAGAGTATATTACATTATTTCATTATGTAAACAAAAATTAAAAGAAATACTTGTGAATATTATTTGCGTCTGTATGCGAGTGTTGGTTGACTTACATTTACCCACCCCTCCCCCCCCCCCCAAAAAAAAAACATATTAAATGTGGTCATATCCCTCAGTACCCATTTGTCTGCCAAAATTCATGGTGTATGTTCGATTGGTCGACACTCAGTTGGTCTACTACCTGTTGCCTTTAAAGTGACGTGGTAAAATTGTTGAAGGTTGATGAAAAAACTGCGTAACTTAAATATATTCCTTCTACTGAACTAACCCTCTACCATGCAAAAAATCCTGAAAAAATTCTCAAATCACAGAGATATTTACGGTTTTCTTTGCAGGCATCACTGGTCAACACCTTCTAACTGTAAATTCTCCCAACCGTTTTTCTATGAAAATAAGACATAAGACAGGATTTTAAAAATCTTTCAACACTTAAATGTCTGGAATGATAATATAGAGCCAATTCATAGCTTTGTTACGATATACATTTAGCTAAAATGTAATTAAATTGTAATAATATAGTTGGGAGAATTAAGGAATCGATCAGATAAGTTTTTCCCAATTTTTATTGTTCATAATGGTCCGTTTTCACTTATACTTTCAGATTATCTTTAATTGTGCATCTAGCATTGAAGTCACTACCTTAGCACCATTTTCTCTCATCTGAACAATGTTACCAAATCAAAATTCCCAACTCAAAACATCCCTTACCCTTACCCTAATCACATGCCCCCAAAAGTATGTTTAAATAGACCAAATGGCTGTAGACCAATCGGCAAGTTACCATATTCATGACGATCTATTGAGACATTTTCTAGCGTTCATGCCAAATGTCATAACCATAATGACTTTCACGGTTATCCAGGCACTTAAATTGTGTAGCTCTGAATGTTTGTATGACTACCAACAGGGGCAGGAGGCATTATGTTAAGGGGGTGGGGTCCCATTTTCATTCTTACAATATCCTGAAAAACGGTTGAATGATATAAGAAATATCATGTGGGTGTCTGTATAATCTTTGGGAGCTAATGATCTGTGTAGAGTTGGGGGATCTTAAAGATCATTTAAACAATTTCCAATTATTTACCAAGGATAAATATGACACCCAAATGAAATTTTAGATGAAACAGAAGTAAAGAAAAGTCCTTGATCCAATATTCATTATTTATACCAATAAATGTGTTTATTTGAATCATCATATCGCAACCAATCATGTTGAAATTGTTAACATAAAGTCATGTAATAACCATCCATACTTTAAATGTAAAAAAAATCACGTCTCTCAACCATCCTTGTTCTTTGTTTTATACATACACGAGCAAAGAGGCAGTGATTTGTTTAGTCTGTTCAAGTATAGTAATTTTGTCAAAAATTCACAAAATGTTAAATGCTAGCAGTTCTAAAAATATCTTGTAATCGTATGAACAAGATAACATGGGAACCTTGTCATTTGGTTACCATGGCAACACCTTATCTACATGACAAAAACAAAATGACTTGCACACCTTCACCTTCACAACATTAGGTGTACCAAGATTCATCAAAATTGCTCAAAAACTGTGGAAGCAGTTTGCTCCAGAAGACTTACATATCTTTGCAAAATTGTGGTTACCATGACAACACCTTATCTATCATTCACAAAAAAAGTTTCTTGAACACCCTCAAAAACATAAAGTGTACCAAATGTCATCAAAATTGCTAAAAAACTGTGAAAGTAGTGTGATCCACAAACTTTTTGAAACGGACCGACTGACTGACTGTACGCTGATTTCCTATATACCCCCTTTCAAACTTCGTTTGGCGGGGTATAATAATAATATCTTTGAATTTATACATATTTGAAGCAGCCATGCATCACTCGGAAACAGAGCGCATCATAGAGCTGTTACAGGTCTGCTGTATGATTACAAGATTTCATGCATGTATACATGTGCAATTATAAGCCGTTTAGAGCGTGTGAGGATATTTCCACATAATGTCAGCAACAAAAGTCTGAACACCTTTTAAAATCATTAACAAATTAACAAAGTATTCATAACCATTCCCTGTGGGCTATTACTATTCCCTGTGAGTGGGGCATGACTTGAAATCACGACTCTAATACGACCAATCAGATGGCTAGATTTCTAAAGTGAGGTATATAAAGTTGTATATATGTTTGATGTTCAGTGCTTGTGCTGCACTGAATGGGGGAATTATCACAGAGTGATGTGGGCCCTGTATTTTTCTAAAAATTTGTGAAAATGAGAAAAGAGCAATTTTTAACAAATAACATTAGAAACAAGTGCATTTTGATGTACTTAAGTCATGGGAGCTGCTTGTCAATGATGATGCATTGGGCTGCGTTTTTTTTTTTAGCTATCACTCATTACCAATGGTTTAAATAAGCATATCTCCCTGTACTCAGGACTCCTCAAACCTCTCTCTCACACATGGTGCACCCGCAAACCTACTGTATCTGTATATCTCCCTGTAGTCTTGATGATCTTGATCAAATTTTCACCAATAATGCCTCTTAGTCTGCCTATTCTAAGCGCCTGTGTATATCAGCCCCTTTAAAAAAAACGAAGCATAAATAAAGTATGTGTACCAAAGCACTAGCATTATTTGCAATCACACACTGAGGAGTACTTGTAATTGCATACTCACAGGTGTTCTCATTTGGTTGTCACATAATATTATAACAACTTGTTTGTGAAAGTTTGCCAATTTCTACATCGTTATTTCCAACTTTTTAGCTGTGCACTATGAGATTCAATTTACTACATCTCCCGAGCACAGCCAATAGTTTCTTGCCCATTACAACTGCAAATATTCAGCAACTTTCTCAGAATAAGCCCTGAACTTATCTCTTAATCCACCATTGCCCGCAAGAATGAGATCAAGCTCCTCTTTCTGCATTTGAGACAGTCTTGAGCTTATATTGGACAGTCTTGAGCTTATATTGGAAGTGTCATCATCCGGTGGTTCATTGTCATCTGGAAGATCAGACAGATGGTACCTCCTTAGCATGGCTTCCACAACATCCTCCCACAAGGTTTCCGTCTCAAAAACTCTGCTAACAGCGGTGTTGTCCAAGCTGCTTTCCAACATGCCATCACGCCATATCTGCTCAGGTGTGCGGTGTTTCTCTGTACGCACTCGATGGTGATTCCATGCATGCTGAAATATGGATAGTCGCTCATTGATGGGCTCTAGATATACAGCATGCAAACTGAATCTGTGAACATCATCACTAGGGTCCAACAAACCCTCATCCTCCAGTGCATAGAACTTGTTGTAATAGTATGCAATTACATCCTTGTACACATCTCGCCACAGTCTCTCTATCCTCACATTGTGAACGGATTCTCCGGTGATATGGCTTGCTCTTTCATTTCCAAATGTCAAGTTCATGAACAATGCCACAAGGACGTTTTCATGGCCGTGATCAGATCTGACCCGAGCAGGCATTGCATACATCTGGGTTGCTTTTAGAAAAAGTTCCAATACAGTTTTGGCACTGTTTTTTGGTGAGCACTTCAGAAAGGTGACTAACCTTGAGAACCCATCGATGCAACCATTGGTTACCAGACCCCACCTGTTTTTGTCAGAACAAATAATACAATGGAAATAATATAAAGTGAACAACAAATAAATGAAAGAAATATATTACCAGAATTCATGATAGTAATCAGGGCAATATTGAAGTTTGTCTTACGATTTTCCCCAAACTTTTTAAAACTTATATCTGTTATTGTTTTTCTAATGGAATAATTTATTAACCATTATCCGATCATTTTTAGCAAAAAATTTAATTATTGCAGTGATTAGAATAAAAAATAAAGGATTTGTGCATTCTACACACACACACAAAAAATCAATTTCCATAGGATTTGTACACAAATCACAAAATTTTCGGGCCAAAGTTCACTTACAAAAGGTCATGTGACTTTAGAACGGTATATCCGGTCGTCACATATTTGATGATCCACACCCTCGACATTACGGATGATGATTCTGCGCAGGTATTGCCGCAGCCATTAAACAAAAATTTTAAGAACAAAAAAAAATTCAGTGAATGACGGCTTGAAAACTACTCAATTTTGTGATTTGTGTAAAAATTTCATGTAGTACTGAATCTGTGACGTCATACAAATCTATTTTTAGAATCTCTCAATTTAAGCTTCATTTTCTCAAAGAGCAAAACAACTAGACTACATCCGCTGTTGCGCGATTTATATACACCTGTATAAAGCCAAAATTAACATGCACATCCTAAAACTCAATTTTGATGGTAATCTGTAAATACTAGATGCAGGGGTGATAGTGAGCACTAAAAAAAAAATAGGTTTTTTGTTTTCCCCTCAACCACGCCCCCCTTGAGTAAAAAATAGAGAAGAGGATTCGCGGGGGAAAAATGGCATCTAACAACATTCCCCCCTTTCGAGTAAGAAAATTTGGGAAAAAATTGGGCAAAACAGGGAAGATTAGAGAAAATAACGGGGAAATCGGTAGAATCAGGGTAAAAGAGGGAAGAAGAAAAAAATCTGTTAAAAAAAAAAAAAAGAAAGAAACTGTTCATGAGCCATGAACTTGAACTTTTACCCAATGACCACAAATCTTATAATTAGATTAGCTCCCCAAGATAGGCAGGCCTATTTCGAGAATTTCTTGAGGTATTGCAATTACATGCTATTTTTTAACAATGATTCCTGTGACCTTGACCTAAAAATCTGCAGCTACAATAACTCAGGAGCCCAGTAGTCAAGTTTGATTAAAATCTGATATTCAGTTCTTGAGATTACAAGTACATTTAGAACATTGGGTCCTGTGACCTTTGATCTTATGACCCCAAAAATCTAATCAGTTCATTGGCAGTCCACGATACATACATGTACATTGTACATGACCCAAGTTTGGTGAGAAACCATCATTTGGTTCTTCGTACGACAGATCGACAACTTGAAAACATAATGGCTTTGGCTATTTCGTTGTGGAAGCAAAATAATTTCCAAATCAGTGTTAAGTTACTCTGGTTCATAACTTAATGAACTAGAGCAGTATAGCACTAATTCCATTCCCTTTTTTTTTCTTCCATATTTGGTTGATTTTTCAGCATTTGGACATTATTCTTTAATTTATGCTCTTTCAGAAAATGAAATTAAAATTTGAAAATTCTAAAAAATAAATTTTTGATGTCGTCAGACTTTACCACTCTACGGAAATTTAATTTTTACATACTGTAGAAAACACAAGACCTCATTATGTTCATTATAATCCCTGCAACTATTTAATTTGAGGATTAAATGGTTGGATAATGGTCCATGAGACATAAAAAACACAAATACCTGATAAGTTTCATGTGTCCATCCATATGCCATAGGCTATTTGGTGAAGCAACCTTGTAGACTCTCCTTGAAACTCCATTTCCCCATCTTTCAGCAGCTGAAGGTGGATCAACTTCAGCTAACAGCTTCCGTACTCTTGTCCTCTGCACAGTGTGACCATGTGCATGAAGAAGTCCAGACATCATCTTCATACAAAATGAAAACAAAATACTTGGAAATATACACTTTGTAAACAGAACATTTAGAACTACACGAGGACCTCCGCAGCTGCGTGACCAATACTAATCTACCCTTTAACATTATATTATTTCATTTAACTCATAAACATCTCCCATAGTGTAATTTTGTAAAATTCAGAATTCACAGCACAACATTACAGTGTACCATAAACATATTTACGTGTATAGTATCATATTTGCATTTACCGTAATAAAGCAGGGTTATTTTGACTATATCTCAGCTAATGAATGCACAAGTTGACACACAGATAGCTTGTAGAAAAATTAGAAAATTGTATTGTTATTTTTTTGTAAAATAATACATTTCTAATTGATATCAATTAATAATCAAAATTTATGCAGAAATCCAATTTTGTATGTAAAAAGTGAACTTGCTCAGAATATGCTAATTTTGCACATTATCCTACCATTTTTAGGCCAAAATTAAGTTCCCAACTGCATGAATATGAGCCCTAATGCCATCAGTTAGATTCAAAATGATTGTGTATGTACAACTACATATTAAAAAGTTCACCTCTGACCCAGTGTTGGGAAACTTTTCATGCAGATCTGCGATGATAGTTTTCAACTCTTCGTCACTCATTGTCAAGTACTTGTCTCTCACTTTCAGCCCATTAGCATGGAGCCTCTTGTAGACTAATGAAGAGGAACAGTTGAAATGTGTAGCCATTCTCTTGACAGTGTAGCCGCTCTTTTGGAAAGTAATGAGCTGTTCTCTTGTCAATTCTACTTTGGGCCGTCCTCTTTTGCCTAGAAAATAATCGAATAGGATGCAATGAAAGTCAACTCCCAAAACACTAAAAAATACATCTATGCAAAGAAATCCAAAAATGTTCATGCTCGTCTTTAGCTTTAAGTTTAAGGACTTTCATTCAGAATCAAAATGATACTCTGTTTTGTCCTCCAATCCCAAGAGAGAGACTGAACTCTGACCTTATTTTAAAAATCTACAAGTCTACAAATAAGCAACAAGGTAGAATTTTCTATACTGAAATAGATGGGGAGGGGGAGTTCACTTTAAATTTTGTTGTGGGGAAAAGGTTACATTTTCCTGTTGTGTCAAAAGAGTGCTGCTAGAGTGCCCTCTTGTTGGCTGCTATCTTAATAAAATCAGGCATCCTGCATGATCCGTTTGAATTTCTTTCTACCATTTAAGCTTGGACGTGATGGTAGAGTCAGGATATGTTTGATCAAGAAAGTGATAGAGTAAAAAGTTCACTCTTGAAATACACACTTTTGGGCCAGGTGGGCCGGCCACCAGAAAAAGGGAAGTAATCATTTCACTGGCCAAACCAGGCAACTGATAAAATAGGCAAGTGTGGAGCCCTGGGTAAATACTGTTAGTTTATAATAACGACATACTAACACTAACTAACATTCATTCAAACCATTTGGGCTTTCTTTCTCACCTGAGTTTGTCCTTGGGGCAGTGAAGCGAGAACTCTGTGAAGGTCTAGTAGAAGTATGTGGGTCTCCCACTTCTGGTTGCCGAGTCCCACCTTCAGGCTCTTCTAAGTCCACAGCTTGTTGGTCGTTCCTTGTAGTGGCATCCCTTGCTTCTGCAGCTTGACCGTCATTACACAAATTAAGCAGACGCTGGGCACAGCCTTTCAGGGAATTGTACATTTCCAATGAAAGAATATTCGAAATTCTTTCCAGGTTAACATTGATTGCACGTAGCTGTTCTCGGGCTAGTGCATAGTTACTGTCGCTCGTAATCAACCTTTCAACATCTCTGAAGGTTCTATCAAGTCTGACAAGGGCACTGTCGGGTATCATTTCTGCCATGACACAAAAGTGGAATGTGTCCGTTGTCAGAACAGTAGATCCATTGAAACTGAAAATGAAAGAACATGAAAAATGTAATTAAAAGTTATACAAGACCATTCTTTATTGCATACTGTATGTAGGGCTCCACACTTACCTTTTTTGTCAGTGGCCTGGTCAGTCCAGTGAAATCATTTCTTCTCCTACTCTGAACAAACCAGTGATTATAGATGAAGCATGACTTGGAAGAAAACAAGATTTTTCAAACTTTGTCAATGTCAAGTTGAAAATCTACTTGCCTGATTGGGCCACCAAAATATGACATTTTTGCCTTTTTTGCTGGTTCAAAGTGCAATTTCAATGGCCCCAGTGCGAGTGTCGAGCCCTGCATGTGTTATCCCAATAAAAGAATTGTGGAAAACAATGTTCATATTTCTGCAAGCTTTTGGATAAGTATATAACTGGCTATAGCAAAACCCTGCACTTGTTGGTAAAAATAAAAAAGGAGATAGATTTTATACCATAACAAGGGAAGCATTCTCGGCGGTCTCGCCTGCATTACCCATTTCGATATGATGAAAAATTGAGGTTGGGACATTATTTATAGGCAGGGTGGCCCATTAACAGGCCCCCCAAAATGAAATCCTCTGAATATAATCAGCATTTTGAAGTGAATATTGACTAAGAACCATCAGAAGAATTATTTACTATTATTTGTATCAAGATTAATACTGTCATGAAATATAACAAATAACAAAATTGATTTATTAATTCTTGTATTAAAGTTGTGAAAAACATAATCCAAATCTACTGATCTAAAATGACCTTTACTTTGTGACCTGGAATTTGAGTTGTATGATTTGTGATACTTGATTACCCTTGGGTACAAGTTTGATGGAATTTGAACAACCACTTTTGAAATTATGCTAAAAATTCAAAATCTTGATGTTGACGCCACAACAAAGTCTAAGTTTGCAAACCTGAAATTAAATTTGACCTTGACTTTGTCATCTAAAGGAGTAATCACATGATTGGTGATATTACATTTACTTTATTTGGACTCCAGGAATCTCCAAAATAGTGGAGGATCAACTAAGAAGAAGAAGATACTTGAAAACTATTATGTTCAAGTTTCATGGAAAAGGAATGTATACTTTCAAAATTATATTAACAATTCTAAAACTTAACCATATAGGGGAATAGCAAATCTGTCGATTGTAGTCAAGAGACATAATTGTTTTAAAGCAAAAGTAATATCAGTGAAGAGTAAATTATTCACAATTTCATCACTTTACCCATTAGGGTCTACTAGTATAGCTATAGATCTAGGTCTAGACTCGATTGTCGATTGCAACCGCGACAACGATCATTGAATATTGTAAAAACTAAAATCGCATTTGCTGTAAATAAAATAGTCTAGGCTAGACCTATGTGCATTAGAACCAGGAATCCGGGCTAACTCTGCCTTCGGGCGAACTCGGCCTCGCTGTAAAAACAGTCCCCTAACCCTATAAACCCTAAACCTAAAGTAAACCTAACCCTAAACCTGCAAAAAATGACCGTTTTACAGCGAGGCCAAGTTCACCCGACTCCTGATCCAACCAGATTCATGACCCCATACCAGGCGCGTACGCAGGGTGGGGTTGGGTTTTGGGGTTACACCCCCCTTGAGTTTTTTTTATGTGTATGTTTTTTGTTGAAAACCCCCCCACCCCCCTTGAGATTTAGTTTGTTTTGTTTTTGTTTTTAATAAAAAAAATTAAACCCCCCCCCCCCCCAACGAAACGAAATGTCCATCGGTCAAATTTTCAAATTTCGGGACAAAAAAAATAAAATGTCCCGTTATCCCCCCCCCCCCCTAGTCCAGAATCTACGCGGTCCTTTATAATTTCCCTAGATCTACATAAATCTAGGTCTAGGTCTAGGGTCTACTTTCAAGCCGTCGAAGATGGTGTTATCAACAAACTCATAATTATGCTCACCAGCCCAGCTCGCGTCGTACTAATAGACCCTACAAAAAGTACAAAGAGATTCGATCATACACAGTAGACCTATGTCTCCGTAATATAATGATCACGCCATCATCGGCTGGTAGCAAGTAAGTAGAGGAGAGGTAGCCTTGGTGTACGTGGTGGAGATCAAAATTAAATATAGGTCTAGGCCTAGACTATAGGCCAGATTCTGGACTACCCCCTCCCCCCCCCCCCCCCCTGCTTATTCAGCGGCTGGCTGAATCGTTGCGAAATTGTTGGCCATATTTTTTTTTAGAAATAATCTAGGCGCTAGTGTAGCAAGGTATCCAAAATATAGCCTACTAAAACAGACCCCAAATTTCAGACCCCTAACCCTAACCCTAACCCTAACCCTAACCCTAACCCTAACCCTAACCCTAACCCTAACCCTAACCCTAACCCTAACCCTAGAGATAATGATAAACACGAAATTTGGGGTCTAAAATTTGAGGTCTGTTTTAGTAGGCTATATTTTGGATACCTTGCTACACTAGCGCCATAATCTAGACCTAGAAATAGAATCTAACGTTAGATCTAACCTAAATTCATTAGCCTACACAAGAATCTATATGTATATGAACAAGCAATGACTTCGACTTACCAACTGTTAAATATCCCGGTTCTAAATAGATGAATAGTCTAGGGTTAACAATGAAAGATCCTCAAAACTTTCACACAATTCCAAATTTGGTTGCTAACTCCTTTTCTGTGTAGATCTAGGTCTAGATGATCATCTAGACTCTAGTTTTATTTCGGTCTGCACTGCACTGTAAAGGATGTGGCATGCATCCCTAGCTTGAGATGTACAAGGCGAGTCTATGTAAATTACCCTAAACAAACACCCCACTGGACCCTGGGCTGTTCCATGAACAAACGGGGGTGATTCTGTTACATAATATATATCACAGAGACGTTAAATGCACTGCAGACTGTATTCTAGCTTGCATTAGTTGAATTCTCGCGATACATTGACTTTCGACAACCCACACTGCACCGGCTTGCACAGACTGGCAGCATGTATTCTTGCATTAGTTGAATTCTCGCGACACATTGACTTTCGCCAACCCACACAGGACCGGTCAGGCATGCAGGATATAGGAATAAATGTTAAAACGGCGCGCTCAGTATGAATTCGTGCAATACCTTTGCGTTCGTAATCATTCACTATAACAATTCGTGATATCAAGAATTTATTTCTTGATATCACGAATTCGATTTCTTGATATCACGAATTCGGTTTCTTGATATCAAGAATTGAATTCTTGATATCAAGAATTGAGTTCTTGATATCAAGAATTGAATTCTTGATATCAAGAATTCATTTCTTGATATCAAGAATTGATTTCTTGATATCAAGAAATATGTTTAAATGATAAAACGGCTTGCCATACGATCGTGTCCTTGTAGCGAAGCCGTGTACGGCCAACGAGAAGATGTATGTAGTGGGGTATTAAACGAGCCTTTGAGTTTATTTCTCGAAAGTCGTTGCGATGGTGTATTTACCTTATTAGTAAGATGAGTGACGTATCTAGGCACGCCATAACGAGCCCCTGTCTCTGATAGTAGAGTGAACATGAAGATCGACAGCATAGACAGTGATATAACGACGAACCAGACTCGTCTCGCATTCCAAAAAGCAGCTGAAGAGAGAAAATAAGCAAAATAATGTGTTAATTATAGTAGTAGTACTGGGAGCAGCAGCAGTAGTAGTAGTAGTAGTAAAGGTAGTAGTAGTAGTAGTAGCAGTAGTAGTAGTAGTAGTAGAAGTAGTAATATAAGTAGTAGTAGTAGTAGTAGTAGTAGTAGTAGTGTAGTAGTAGTAGAAGTAGTAGTAATAGTAGTAGAAGCAGTAGTATCCTAGTAATAGTAGTAGTAGTAGTAGTAGTAGTAGTAGTAGTAGTAGTAGTATAGTAGTAATACAAGTAGTAATAGTAGTAGGTAATAGTAAGGTAGTGGTAGTAATATTAGTAGTATTAAAGGTACTATGTCCCTATTGCAGCCAACCTCAAATGCTGTAGAACTTTGCAGGAACTATGAATATGTTATGTATGTCCTATCTGTGAAATTTAAACGTTAGCAGTGTCCTCATATTCAAATTATGCAAGGAAACCCGTTTACTTGCTAGACTTCACTGTCAGACACTATTGAGTGACTGACTGGCTTTTTTTTAGTAGTGTCATAATTATTTTGTTTGCCTAGGAGAGCCTCATGAAGTATTCGTCGGAGAATCTGAGAAATGTAGGGGGCGCATTCCTCTCCATTTGGATTCAACAGGGGATGGGAGGGGGGAAGCTTGGGAGGGGGAAGGCCTGGCAAACCCAATATGTCAAACCGTTAGTAGACACAAAGCACATATAGAATAATGCCCCCTCCTTATTGTGCCCCTATCATAATCTAGCCCCTAAAAGGCCTTTTAGTCTGACTTGTCACATGTTTCCGGGCTAGTGCAAGTGTCACCGCAAACTCTCCATAATCTCACAAGCCGGACTACATGACTCACGTGCACGAGAGGATCCAGGGGCCGGCCGGCACGCACATTTAATTTTGGGTACGCCCTCATAGTTTTACTTTTCGGCAAGCTTTGAGTGGTTTGTAACAATGTTGATCATACTTTGTTGAGGCAAGGACACTTTATACTAGACCATTGTCGTAATGTAATCAAATATAATGCTTAGATCTTCGTTAACTGCCATTTTACAAATTATTGCATACATTTATATGTGCAAGGTAGGAGACGCATTATAGCTTGTCGAACCTAGCAACATGTAATGTATACAATTCGCAATCCGACTTCGACATACATGATTCGTAACAGGTGGACAATATAATTTGTAAAGAAGCATTTAACAAAGAATTAATTGTGCATAATATTTGATTACATTATGGAAAAGAACATTTCTCGTCAGTTCGCTTCAACTTTCGAACATAATGCCATTATAACATCCTACATGTTCTTAGATAGCTGTAAAACACCCTATGTATCATGCCGTCGCTTTCGTTCCTATACTTTTCTATAACTTTGATTACGTAAGATAAGAACCAACTAGACACTCTGGCCCGAAT